GAACTTACAGTTGTCTTTTGATTGTGTTCAGCTGAAACCAATTGTGTGGACACCACCATAACTAATCTGCTGGAGAGCAAGGAGGAAGGTCTGATGGAAGCATCCGGGACGTCAACGTTTGGGTCTTCTATGAACAACTCCTATTCCTCTGTCCCTGCCCCAACCATAAAGGTTTGTCAGGGCTCTCTGGAGAATGATTTGTTAGAGAGAAACTCCCTCATGAGAGATCCCCAAAAAACAGACAAGGGTCTCTTAAAAGGTGACCTATCATGCAAAATGCACTTTTGTACGTCTTTTATACATGAATATGTGTCCCCGGTGTTCCAGGGAACTCACCAAGTGTCAGAAAACACAACCCTCTCTATTTACCTCCATACCCAAATCTCTTAAAAAGGGGCTGCAACGGATCTGATACAGACTGATCCAGATTTCAACACTTCTATGACGTCACAGAAGTGGCGCTACGGCTATTGGGCCAACTCCACCAATCAGGAGGAGACAGCCACGGACATTGCCGTTGGAAAGCGCTGGAGACGCTGTAGTACATATGCCAGGCCTGTAGATGGTGCTGTTCTCACAGAATCAGCCCATGCAAAGACAGTGTTAAATTGAGCGAAATGAGGAATGGCTAAAATGCTTGATCTGTTTGGTATTTTGAAAAATAAAAAAAGTATAAATATGCCTTATATAGGTATGGTCCTACACTATATTATTAAAATATAGCATGATAGGTCCACTTTAAATATACCAAACAGTTAGGTCATCAATCTTTGTTGTGCAAGTCCTATTTTATTTTATTTGCCAGTAAATGCAATCCATCTAACTGTTATTTTCGTATTATTAAGAAATACTAATAATGTTCTCTTTTCGTCCACAGCCTGCTGCCAAATGTTTCGGGAGATACCCAGTTGATAGACATTTGTCTCTCCAAGAGACCGCCAACAACAAGATGGGATGAGAGTCCTCTCCTGTCAGACTGAGAGGCTGATAACCTATGGGTGTAGTCTCTTTATTTCCCCCTCAAAATGCACCAGATTGATGCATTTAAGTCCAACATTTAAAAATCTTACCGGGGGAGCATGCCCACGGACTATAGGATTCGAGGTCCACCCCCACTTATAAAAATAGCACTTTACCACTGCACCCCCTCTGATCTCAGATGCACCCGGAGTCATTTTGTTTAGGTACAGTGAGCCGTTTCTAAAATATACAGTAAAGAGACAAACCCACCAGCATTATAGGATATACTTTGAGCCAAATACTTGTTTTTGGGTTGTATAAATAAATTGACTTGAAAGAGTTGCTGATTTAGAGTACTGGCACCTTTTTTATTCCAATTCAAGCACTGGTTATTTGTGAATAAACAACCATCTGTAACGTTTGCATTCAACGGGAGCACAAGAGGGCGAACACTTTAAAACGTAATTATAGGACGTATTAAGCGCTTGAACAAACGACATATTTGGTCGTAATAATTGGGCCTGAATAATCTGCATATTTGGTCGTATGAGTTGGACGACTTGTTGATACTGTAGTTTATTTTCTTCTTTTATTTGATTTGTGTCTCATTGTTGTATTTCGGTTTCTCCAAGTAGTTATATTGTGTCCATTTGCATTTTGCCTCTATGGTGGTTTCCTATAGTTGTTGTCTCTGTTTTTAGTCATTGTATGTCTCTTTGTAGTCATTGTGTGTCTTTTGTTATTCGTTTTGTGTTTCTTTGTACTCATTTTATGTCTCTTTTTACTCATATTGTGTCTCTTTGTGTTTGTTTTTTTGTCTCTTTGATGTTGTATTGTATTTTTTTGTAGACCCGTTGTGTCTCTATGTAGTCATTGTGTGTCTCTATGTAGTCATTGTATGTCTCTTTGATGTTGTTTTTTATTTATTTGTCGTCATCTTGAGTATCTTTGTTGGTGCTCTGTCCCTTTGTAGTAATGTTTCATCTCTTTGCAGTTGTTTTTGTTTAATCTGATTGAAGTTTTGACTGTTGCCTATTAGGTTTCTTTGTTCATCTTTTGAGCTGTTTCGTATCTCCTGTAGTTATTTTTGGTTTACTTTAAGTAATTTGTGTTTCCTTGAGGATGTTTTTTGTGATGATTTTGAGTCCCTTTCTAGTTGGTTTCAAACCTTTATTTATGCAGGTGTATCCCATTGAGATCATTGAAAATTCTCTTTTTTCAAGGGGAGACCTGCAAAAGTTCTGGTGACTCCTTAGTGACAATTTTGTTACGGCTGAAGACGAGGGGGACCCCTAAACTTAAGGGCCCCTGGGCTATACACCCCGGAAAGCCTTTTTTTTAGTTTTGGGATCCATTCTTCTCATGGCAAAAGCTAGGTTGAGGGGACTGCTGTGCTTTTCGGGGTTTTAAACTGGCGAATCAGAAAACCAGTTTTTGGCTGGAATTGTATTATCATTATATTTCATTGGTTTCAGTTTGCAGAGTGGCAATCAAATGAAACAGTAATATCCAGTAACATCAAAGACAGCAAACACTTTAACCGCTGTATCCCCTCCTTTACATCATTCCTAATTTCAAACAGAGTAACAGACATATCAAGGTAGAAAATAAATCAAATAAGTTAAATAAAAAAGTGAAGCCTATGTTTTCCATATTACTTGCAAGATTCACATCATTAACAAAGCACACCTTGGTAAAACTTAAAAATTGGGGTGCATACCATTTCAACATCCGGAGACAAGGTTCCAAAAAACTTGTCACATAAATGTCGGAGTTCTTGACTTCATCACAGGACCTATTGAACCAATGGACACAGGACCAATTGTTACATTTAATGCTTCAAATCCTTTACAGTCACAGTCCAGCCTCATGGTCTATTTTTTTTTTATTAATCCACACTTAAAGACCTAAGCCCATACTAAACCCAAAAGACATGCAATATCTCATCCAAGAGCCTGTAGTTTAGTGCCTTTTGCCCATAATGGAATGCAAAGGAAAATAAGACTTTAGCCGATGTTAAACATAATCCTGTTTTGATCCCCCAGTGCAATGGATGTTGAGGCCACGATTATATGCGTTGTTTATAAATGCAGGCCGATTAAGCTGGTGTCTCTGGCCATGCATGGTGCTGTTGACAGCGCTGGTTTGCACTGCTGCAACCAAACGAGGCTGCTTCTTACCATGCAAACGATGTGCAGAACAACAATCCGTAGTTTGCAGCCCCCCACTTGGAACTTTTCATGCATTAAGCGTTTGTCAGCCCAACATACACAAGGTTATGTAACTGCCCAGTGGCCCTAAGTCTAAAGCGTTGCGTACAGTGACACACTGCACCATGAAGCCAACATGGTTCTACATCTCCCACACATGAGCGGGAGGTTAACAAAAACATGACATTGTTGCCATTATTTTTTCTCGAACAAGACATAGCCTCATCTGATGGTTATGTGGAAGTTACTTCCGCTTTAATGTTCTTTAGGACGGCCTTAACATCGCTCAATCCATTAAATACAGATTAGCAATAAAGGCTCCGCAAAATACACTGAGATAATTGAGGTACAATTTCAGTGACATCAATAATTGAGTTGCAGTTATCTTATCGCAATGGATTGTGTGTATATGTGTTATTGTTTAAAAGTTATAAAACAAAATATTAAATTAAAAACATTAAACATTTAATGTGTTGTATTTTTGTGTTGTTACTAGGGGATATTTTATATTCACATTATGTATATGTGGTGTGGCTTAATTATAAGTTATATGTTTTTTTTACTACATTATGTTGTGGTTTGTTTTATCTATTAATATGTATATTATCTTTATGTGTTTTAACGATTATTGTTTCTGTTTTTTTTGTGTGAATTATTCTACCCATACCATTTTTAACTCGCTCCGTTCTATTTTTTATGGTGTTTTGGTTTAGCATAGGCGCTACCTCAGAATCGGCAGGTCGCAGCCTGTTGTCATAACCGCTCCACATGGAAGTCGGGTTCTAACAATACGCGTAACAATTCGTGCCGGTAGATCCTTCACTCCTTTCTTGTCTGTCCCCCGCCTCTCTCGAAGGAGAAAACATACACTCCTTACTGCGTCCCACTAACCTCTCCTAGTTGAATCAAAAAACTGCGTGTCGCCCGCCCCCTCGTGTCAGCTCTCTTGCCCAACCCCAGATGGCCCACTCTCATTGTCCAATCACCAAACACAAAATGTGTGTGTGTGTTTATGATTTGTGTGTGTGGCTCTCTTAGTTAATCCCAACACGCCCGTGTGTTCTCGTCCCTGCTGCCACCGTTCTCCTTTCCTTGGCAGAAAGCCATCTGCCAGCATATTTTCAAGCCCTTTCACATCTCACCCGACTGCCCCGCCATGCGCTGCGCGGTCCCGTCAGGGAACCAGGAGCGAGGTCCTCGGCGGGGCACATCGCGAGGGCCAGGGACGGCAAGTTCTCCGCGCTCCTGACAAGTCTCTCACCCACACA